GTATAAAAATCACACAAAAATTGAACATTTTCTATATCCTAAATTTAAGTTGTACAAAAATTGCATACTTTTAATATGCTTTGAAAAACTTCATAGCTATTTTTATCCAAAAATCTGCAATAATTGTACAATTTCCACACAGACTTGAACAAATATTGTACAAAAATTGGATGATTTTTTTTCATAGGGCAGGAGTTCCTGCTATTACTTTTGGTCTCATTCCATTAATTATTTTCAATGCAAGATCATAATCATTTTCAAAATCATTAAAAGGAGGTTGCCCGGATGAAATTTCCCACATAAGCATTGCAGCACTATAAATATCAGATTTTTTTGTAACATACTTTCCAGAATTTCCAGAAATAACTTCTGGTGCTATATAAGGAAGATTACCATATATACTTTCTGTTGATTTATCAGCAGGTCCACAAAATCCAAGATCACTAATAACCCATTTTTGATTTAGTTTTGAATACAATATATTACCAGAATGTAAATCTCTATGGATTGCATTCTCAATATGAATAACATCTATTGCAAGAACTATTTCATAAGCAATTTTTATTTTTTCTTTCCATGAAAGTTGATTTTGAAATTGTTGTAAATATTTTCTTAAATCTGTATCCATTCTATAGATTACAAGCATATAGTTTCCATTTGATGGATTTTGTGTTAAACCATAACATCTAACAACTGTCACCCATTTATTGCCTATTTTTAAGTGTGATTCAGCCTATATATATATAAAATTTATTATTCACTAAAGCTGAAAGTGATAGTCAAATAACATTAAAATTTACAAACCTCTTCAAACCATCTTTGATCTGCACTTTCAACATTTCCTAATACTTTAAGTATTACTTTACGTTTTCCAATTTTTATTAATTTTTGTTCTTTAGAATCCCATTCTTCATATCTTCCATCAATCCAATCTGCTGCATAAATTTCAGAAAATCCACCTTCTGTTAAATATTCAATATTTTGAAAATTATTATAAGGGATCCATTCAATTATATTATCTGGCATGAGTGTTGTAATTTGAAAATTCTGTATTAAATTATCAATATTATTATTTCCAGATGTCCAATTTGAAAAGTTTACTTTTAAATAATTTTGAATACAATATTCACAATATAATGTAGCTAAACATTCTTGGTTACAATTTTCACAAGTTCTTCTTGTTCCTGAATTATTCATAATTTTATTCTTATCATAATTCTTATTCAATACTTTTATTGCATAAGTTTTTTCATCATTTGTAAGAGAATTATAATTGAGTATAATTTCTTTTCTAAATTCATGCTGTTTATGAAAATCATCATAAATATTATAATCTATTGACATATTTGCTTCATTAATTGCAGCATGAACTAATTCTATTCGAATATCAGACATAATAGACATAATAGATATAATGTAATTTTCTTATAAAAATGTTTAAATTATGAAAAAAAAAAATTAGTTTTTGTAATTTAAAAAAAAATCTGGGAGCGGAGTTTTTCATACGTTTTATGTCTATCATGTAACTAATATAAATTAACAAAATGAAACAAAATTTAGTAATCATTATCGGATTATCGGCCAAATAATTTAACGCTAATCATAACTTTTCCTATTTTGGTCTAAATTTTAAATTTCAATTAATTTTATTTTAAATTTATTTTATGTAGGACAAAAATGTATTCTCATGAATTAAATCACGCGATATAATAGAAGTGGAATTATATAATCCTTTGAATAGAAAACTCTTTCCCAAAAATTCTGGAACAAAAATTTTAACATCGTTGGTTGTTTATTTCACCATTAAATATAACAAAAACGTCGTTCCTTCACACTAGAAAGAGTTTTCCCACGTTTACAAACTATTTTTCAACTATTTTTTATACCCACACTATTTTTTTTTCTATACTTCGCCATATTTTATTTTCTGTTGAAGTTATAACCCTACCACCATTATAGTACCACTTTCTTCCCCCAACATACTCACGAAGTCTTCTCAAAAGTTTCTTATGACAGAAGTCCTCCAAAACAACACCACTAAGACCGTGCTTCGAGTATACCGCCCTTGCAAGGCGCATTCTTTTTTCTTCGCTATACAAATCCTGCACCCTTACACAAGTTGCGACACATGTGGAGTATAACACTAGAAAAGGAAAATATTTCTTACTGCACCTCAGCACTTATCATCATACGCCGATCAACCCCTATAGATCAACACCGAATTTCTAATGATTTCGAATTATCACGCGAACATCGTCATACACTCATACTCATACTTACAGATCTACAAGTAATAAACCAAATGTCAACTACCGGGTCGTATCTCACTTTTGTGTTTTCCCTTAACCGTCAATATTCAAAAGATGTTGTCAACAAATATTTCAAAAGATTACGGGAACTCCTTAAAGACAAACTATTGGCTATTAAAAATAGAACTTCTCGAACCAAGAAAATAATAAACGAACTAAAACGTTTATCCATTTTAGCTCGGGTAATCATCCTAACCCGTGATCTACCTAGGATTTTATTTCCGATGTAACAACGATTTTTGTACTTCACCCGCCGCCTTCGTTATGTCACAAAAGCGTTGGAGTTGCGGCGAACATTTATGGAAATCGGATTTAGCTACAAGTTCACATAGTCAACGTCATATTGCTTAAGATCACGTTTTTACAAAAAACAGCTATTAAAGACGAGTGGTCTTAAGAATAAAAGAAACGTCAAAAAAGTTCATTCAAATCGCCTCGACGTTAGTTATATAGTCACTGTTAGGAAATATAACTCTCATTTTGGGATCGAATGGAACATAACACAAAAAGGTAGAACCATCACTGAAAGAAACCATTACAAAGAATACTCCAAATTGAAATTTGACATTGTACGCTCACCACAACAAATTACCCATTGGAATCGACTTACAAAAAGCGTATTAAATCAAGAATACTGCTCCGACATTACTAAACCTTATATTTTAACGTAACCTACGTGGATGACGACTTCTCAAAAGCCATCGCTAACGCCCACTACATCATTTCTAAAAAGATCAAAATATCATCAACGCTCCTGATGTATACCTATTTAGAACTCTGCCCCCGGACAACACATCGCACACCACCGTCTCAGACAACACGTACGTCTCCGCTAGGGAATCAAGCGAGACCATCATCTATCCGCCGACTCCGGCGCATGAATAAGTAAACATCCATGCAAAACAATACCGGACCCAGATATTAAGACAACATTCTATACTTGACATCCTTTTTTTGTATTTTGTTCGCTTCTCTAGTCTTGTGTCGTGCGTATGATCCGGCGTTGTTCTCAGAGCATCCCCGTTTCCTTTTTATACAATTTCCCACAAAGGGGACATTGCCCCTGTAGCGATTTTGTTGTCAGTTTTCTAATTACTTTCGGTTTTAGTTTTAAAGTCTTTGTAATTTGTACTGTAACTTTGTTCACTTTGTGAAATAAAAATGAAAAATTACTAGAGATGAGTAAGTTGTAACAATAAAATAGAGAGAAACATACTGTACCGTTTCATTCCTGCATCAATTTGATCGATCATTAATTTTGTTCAGGCCAAAAATATATGAGATGAATTGATATAGGAAGTTGAACATTGCGGCGGATTTATGAAATTTGGCAAAAACCCTGCTGCGTTCTCGGGAATTAAAATTGACTTACAGAAACATTAAGCTTTTTTCCTAAAAAATGTCAAATATGACGCACCTTTAACACTGGAAAAATTGGTTAGACGCAAGATTTGGGGTACAAAAAAATTTTTTAGGGCTCATTTTTGACTGTTCACTAATAAATTTGAGAAATTTGGTGACTAAAAGACTGTCAAATATTTATTTAATTTGACATGACGGACAAATTTAGGGTATTTCATAAATCCGCCATGATGAATACTTTTATAAATTTAGTTCTTCCATTTTATACTTACTATACTTTTTTTTTATATTTCATACAGAAAATCAAAACAATTCAACGAACAAATTATACCAATTTTGCTTAAATATAAAAGTTTTAGTTGTTAATTGACCCTATTGTTACGATCATTTATTGTAAACTCATTAATTAGCTTTAAACTTTCCACTTAATACATAAAGTATTTACAGTGTGGGACAAAAAAAATCGGATAAGTGATCACGTGACTAAAATGATCTACATCGCCAAAAAAATAAACTAAATTTGTACCACTTAAAGTTAAATACATCTGTGACTACGTTTGACTATCTTTGCGTCCATTAACACCCTTTATTTTTGGGAGAAATTCCAAAACAATGACTTGCGCAAAAAGAAAAACTTATAATAATTCTCATTAGACTTATGAAATAATGGTATATATAATATTAAAGATTTACATAACCCCATGTAATTTTTATTGCCAACAATTTATAAAAACAAAAAAAAATCAAAAAAACTAGCTTTTGAAGCATCATAGAGGGAATAGAAGACCCCAAAAAAATTACCGCAAGTGCATTCCATACACTCAGTCAATATGTAAGGCATGATACATCCTTTTCTACAAGAATTTTAGCAAGAAAATTGAAAAATACAGGTGAAAAGTATAATATAGAACAATTAGAAGTCATCTTTCAAGTGTTAGTTATGTAGAAAAAACTCCCAAAGCAACTCTTATGTTAATCGAAGCACACAAGCAAAGACATGTATAGTGGGCACAAAATAATATTATGACCAATGGGAAAAAATTTTATCTGCTGATAAAACAGCCTTGCAACTCTTTAGTAACACTGTTAAATATTGGTATAAGGAGGAAAGACCAGTTTGTTGTACGTCTAAAGATTATATAAGAAATTATGGCGTGGGATGGTTGTTTATGAAAGGAAAAGCAAGTTTATTTTGTTTCAGACAAATTATGAACATCGAGATTTATGCAGAAATTTTTGTACACATGCTTCTGAGATCTCCTGGATGCTTTGTAGTCGTTTGTTGGTGTTTCCAACAAGAAAACTACCATGCATAATAGTCATTTTCTAAGCTCTGTCTAAAAGAAAATTCACCAGAAGTTTCAGTGTGGCCATGAGATAGCCCCGACCCAAATCCTATTGAAATTTATAGGATATCACAAAAAATAAGGCAGTGAAGCAAATACAAAAAGTTTTTAATTCTTTGGAAGAATTTATGGTGGAGAAATGCCAAAATACTCTAAAAATCGTTCTAATCGATATTTTAAAGTCAATTAGACGATGTTGTAAGTTAATTATTGAAATAATGGCGAATGTGTATAATACTAAATTTTTTTTAATAAAATAAGCTGATTTAAAGCTTTAAAAATACAGTAAATTTCACGATTTTTTTTTATTATAATTGAACGTTAATGATCAAAAATAAAATTCCTATTTTTTTTGTCCCACACTGTATTTGCAGTAAGTTCAAAAATTTTATACTATTGCAAAAGCTAATTATTAATTTAATGGGTAAGTTATAACAATAATAATAAAAATAATGAATATTTTACTTTTTTTTTTTGTTTTAAACACTAGATATCTTAGTTTTTAACGTAAATAAAACAAAATATATTCTGTCAGGTATTAAGATTAATAAATAGAATATAAAATAATTAGTTAAATAAATACAAATATGAAAATGATGAAAGTGAAGATATTTTACCTTATATAAAAGAATATATAATAAAAAAGACAAGAGTTAAATATTTAGCTATTTTAGATTTATATTTATTTCATAGACAAGATGAAGATTTGTATTCTTTGAAAGATAAAGTAAAGGAATTTCAATTGCATGATATTCAAGTTCTAAATTATAATGACTTGGTTATTGATGTTTATGATTTTATAAAAAAAACTTATTAGTTATTTATGCAATTTAAATTAATTCAATATTGAAATTTTAAAATAGTATAATAATATATAAGTAATTTATTTATAATTAGAGTATATATACAAAAGAATTTATGCTTTTCTAAATTAGTAACAAATGAAATTATTAATTTTTTATATTTATCTCCAAAAATATATTTTCAATTTGTAAACTTTTTAGTTGCTTTATTAAAAAAAAAATTAGTATTTTAATATGTCATGTATTTTACTAAATACATAATGTACGATAAATTGTATGTCTAATATTACATATATTGAATTTTTCAAAGCATTAAATTGTCCAATAAATTATAGGGTATTATTTAAATCATTCCGATATTATATAGTGTAGCAGTTATGGTTTTGTTGTTTACTTACAGTTATGGGACATCAATAATTACTGGCCTGACAATTAAATTTACTAATCATATTGTCTAAAGTTGCAGATATAATACGAAACTAAATATATAAAGATTGTACTTGTAATAGCACAAGTCCAGCTAATAATTAAAGATAAAGAAGCTGAAATTTCCCAACTAATTGCGTCCGGCTGATAATTAAGCTGAAATGGCCCAACTAAAAGAAAAATAAGCAGTTTATAAAAATAAAAATTATTATAAATTTACTAAAATTTTCATGTAGTAAAGAATGTTATAAAAGATTAACTTTTTTAAATATAATTAGCGTCTAAGCCATTATTGTTTTCCTAATTATTTTTTTTTTTACTAACTTTTTTTCGTTCTTTATTTGAATAAATATATTTTGTATGATTTTTTAGTTAAAATAAATATATTTCTTTACTTAGTAAAAATGAAAAAACATATCCAGCCAAAAAAATAGAATCAATAATTTATGTGTCTAAATTGAAAATTAATATTTTTATTAATAATTAGTATATAATTAATATCTATTTTAATGTTGTCCTTTTTTTATTGTTAATAATTATTATTAATGTTAACAGTTAATAAAAAGAAAATTTATATTACTTTTTCCATACCTATTTCATGTGAAAGTAAATAATGTATTGATTCTCCCCTAAATAAAATGCATAATATGTCTAATGATATAATAATACTTCAAGAAATGTTTGAAGTCGAGATGCCGGAATAACAAAAAAAAAGATTATGTAAAGAAAGACAACAAAGCTTTAGTAGAAAAGGAAAAAGGCCATGGGTTTAAATTTTATATAATTATTTTTTTGTAATTTTTTATTTCTTTATTAATGTCTTTTATAATTCCTTTTTTTTTTATAAAACAAACTGAAATTTTCTTATATTTTTTCTTTATAATCTATATTAATAGTTTTTTATATGATTTTTAAGTTCGGATCAGGATAAAATCACTGATCGGGGCAGGTGCATTTTTTTCCTTTATTTATTTATTTTTTTTCTTGACCTTTCTTTAGATATTTGTGAAGATTAAGACCGAGAATTGTTGAAGGTACATTGCCAGTATATAAGATTAATGAAAAGATGTTGGGATTCCGATCCTAATAAAAGACCGCCAACTGGTGAATTGGTTGAAATTCTTGCTTGTTGGTTTGGATTATTATCAAAAGTGGAATATTGGAAGAATACTCTTTCCTGGTAAGTTAATCTTCAATGAATGAATAATTTATTAATTCGTAGTAATTATTTTATTATTTCTATCTAATTTTATTAATTTGATTTTTTAGATAATGAGCCTATTACTAAAAATCATACATTATCTTGTTATATAAGTAGAAAAATTGATTATTCCGCAAAATTAAATGAAATTTTAAATCAAAAAGAATTAAGTTCTAAATTAGTAATATATGGAGAAAAAGAAAACTGTATAATTATGATGCAACATTAAGTGAAAATTTAGGCATCAAAATTTTCATATAATTTTTCTTAAATCTTTAAAAATTTATTTAGATGAGTACTAGTACGTTTAAGTTCACAGCTTAACCTTAAGGCTGTTGGCTGTTTGAGCAAATTGAAATTCCTATTTTTATGAAAGAAAAAGAATTTTGATGCATCAAGTAATTTACAATAAAAATTTTTTATTAATTATTATGAGAATTATATATTCTATTAGTATATATTGATCATGACAAATACATAATAAATTTTATGGAATTACCTCTTGTAAAAAATTAAAAACAAATTTTTTAATGTAGAACGTGTGCACAATATCTTGTTATACTTTCATGAGGTCATATAATAATTTGGATAAATTTATTAAAATTATTTAAATTACAAACTAAGAATTTTGTAAAACATTTACTACTCTGGTCTTAGTGTTTAAATAATCCAAGATAAAAAAAATAAATAAATAAATGATGATAATTTAAAAATATAAAAAAAAAACACATTATTAAATGTTTCAAAATCCATCTAAAGTTAAAAAAAATTAATTATTTGCTTTATAAAGAAATTTAATTTCTACTTTATATTTTAAGAACTTACCATCTGGAATTTCTAGTTCATCTTGTTCTTCTGAATGAAGATTTGGATCATTATATACTTCGTCTTCATCTGTAAGAAATAAATAATTAAATTAAAATAAAATTTTATATTGACAAAATACTTTTTTTTGCTTACCATCAATATCAATATCTTTCCTCTTCATTTGTTGTTGAATTATTTCTTTATCGTCATATTATTTTTAAAATAAAAGTCACGTTATTTAATAAATGAAACTGATACAATGAATATTTTATTTCACTTATTTACTTACTATTTGAATTTATTTGCAAATTTATAAATTCTTTGGGTAATTTTTCACTATCACCTAAAATTAAGAACATAGAAATAGATTTAAATATTTAATCTATTATTTCAAACAAATCACCTTTAAAATATTTATTAATAATTTCTTACTATACTGCTTATTTGATCCATTAAAATCGTTAACTAAAACAAATATTAATTGTTAAACATTTATATATAATACTTCAACGCTATAACATTAAATACAGTACTTACTATTGTTAGGAATGTTAAAATCATACAATTTACTATGAAATACTATTAGTAGTAAAATTAAAGTATTAAGTATTTTAAAAACTGGATTATTATAAAAAATTATAGAAATTACTATTTATACGGTTATACCTTCTTGTTCTTCTATTATCAGTTATAATATAAATTCAAAAAAGATAATATTATAGTATTAATAATATATTTTAAAATAAATACATTCATTAATAAATATTATACACTTATACCTTCTGTTGCATTTCTTGGTTCAGGTAGATTTCCAAAGTTGTGAATTTTACTTGTAAATAATCTGCAACTCGTATAATTTTCTTCTACTTTATTCATTTCTAAATTATCCATTTCTGATTTGAATAATTCATCATCTGTCATATTTTGATAATATAAATTAAGTTCATTCACTTTAATTGCAAGTGCATAAGCGTCAGGTCTTTTTAGTGGATCAGCATCCCAACATTCTTTCATTAAATTTTTATATTCTAATGGAGTTCCTGGCACAATTTTTGGCCTTATACCGTTAATAATATTCATTACAATATCATTTCCATGTTCATAATTTATAAATGGTGGTTGTCCAGATGAAATTTCCCACATAAGAATTGCAATACTATAAATATCAGATGCAAAAGTATATTCTCTTCCAACAATAACTTCGGGTGCTATGTAAGGAAGATTACCATATATACTTGTTGAAGATTTATCAGCAGGTCCACAAAATCCAAGATCACTAATATACCAATAATCATTAGATTGTGAATATAGTATATTTCCGGAATGTAAATCTCTATGAATTGCTTTCTCTTTATGAATATAATAAAGTGCAAGAATTATTTCATAAGTAATATTAATTCTCTTTTTCCATGTAAGTTGATTATGATTTTGTTGTAAATATTTTCTTAAATCTATTTCCATACTCGCCACTACAAGCATATAATTTCCATTTGATGGATTTTGTGTTAAACCATAACATCGAACAACAACTGGCCATTTATTACTTATAGTTAAATGTGATTTAGCCTAAAAGACAATAATTTGTAAAAATACTAGTGCTAATACAAAAAATTACAACAATTTTATGAAATATAGAATACAATAATACAAACCTCTTCAAACCAACTTTGATTTGCACTTTCAACATTTTCTAATTTTTTTAATATTACTTCGAAATTTTCATGTCTTTCTAATTGTTTTTTTTCAGAATCCCATTCTTCATAATGTCCATTAATCCAATCTGCTGTATATATTTCCGAGAATCCACCTTTTGTTAAATATTTAATATTTTCTAAATTACTATATGGAATCCATTCAACTATATCCTTTGGCCCAAGTGATTCCATTTGACATTTCTGTATTAAATTATCAATATCATCATTCCCAGATGTCCAATTTGGAAAATTTTCTTGTAAATAATTTCGAACACAATATTCACAATGTAATGTAGCTAAACATTCTTGGTTACAATTTTTACAAATTCTTGTTGTTCCTGAATTAAAAATAACTTTATCTCGATCATAATTTTCAACTAATTTTCTTATTGCATAAGTTTTTTCATCATTTGTAAGAATTTTATCAGCAAGGACTGTTTGTTTTCTAAATTCAAATTGTTTGTGTATATCATTGTAAATATTAGTATCTGTTAATGTTGCTGCTCTATTATTTGTTGCATAAATTAACTCGTATCGAAGAGTGGACATAATGCAATCTATAAGAAAGAAAGAAATAATTATTTTAAGTTCGTTACTCCAAGATAAATTAGTAAAATGCAAATTGTTGATCAAACTTCATGTTACGCCACATAAATTTTGTGACCTTGAGGCGTAATATTTTACGCCTCATAACCAAAAAAAGAACCATTTATTATTGTACTTTCTATATTTAGTATGATAATTTAAAATTAAAAATTTACTTTTTTTTTATTTTTTTTATTTTTTTCAGCGAATACAATTTATGTTTAACAAATTTGATTGTCATACCTAATGAATAGATAGTATCCTTGATTATTGATTAATATTCAAATAATTTAATAAACAAAATTATTAATTTATTATTATTTTTAAATCTTATTAAAAAAAATCAATAAAAACATGATTGATGAAAAGTCAATTTAGTTATTTTCAATTGAATTTATTTTAAATAAACAACGTGGCGAATAATGAACATGAAAGATTATAAGAAACTATTCAATTTATTATTTCTACTAAAAAAAGTCATATCTAAGAGAAGAATTTCTGTAAAATTATAATTATTATTATTTTTTTTTTAAGGTGTAATGAATGGATCGCAAATATAAGTTTAAATAAAAATATATTCGATTTAGTGCTATAATAAATAAGGAATAGATCAGGCGCAAGTATGTCACGGGTTTTCATGTTACACAATTAAATTATTTATATGGAACGGCAAGACATATTATTTAGATATTTCATCATAAAAGTTTATTGGTATATATAGATAACCATTTTTATAAAAAATAATAAATAAATACATCATAAAGTAAGTTCAATTGAAAAATCTAAATCAAGCATTTTTTTTTAATTCCATTCAAATTCTTCAAAAAGACAACTAATGAAGAATTTTTTAATTATCTCTTTCACTTTATATTTTTCAAATAAATCTACTAATTGATGATATTCTTTCAAGCTAATAGAAAAAGGATTGTAACCTATTGTTAACAGTATAGGATTCCTATTTTTCCAATTGTCAAAAAATAATTTAAAATCTTCCAATTCAAATCTCTTGGAATGAAACTTAAATTTAAATAAACCAATTGGTGCAGACTTAGCTAATATAATAAACAATTTATCCCAACTAAATAAATTAATATATCTATCATATATTTCAATAATTAATTCAATTAATAATTTACAATTAATTAATAAATTTTCAAATTCTGAAATAAGTGAATTAGTATTATTCATTAATGATATTTTAAGATATCTAAGATTTGGACAATTTTGATATATTGCTTGAATAAGCCTTTCATTATCAATATCATTATAAGTTATATCAATTTCAGTAAGATGCCCTTTTGTACTTTCAATTAAATTTACTAAACTTTTAGATGGAGCTCGATGAGTCTTTAAAATTTTTAAATTAGGTAATGATAAATCGTTTAAATAATCTAACTCATCCCAGCATTTAGTATGAGTTATATTAAATTCTAAACTTAATAAGTTTGGAAGATATGAAAGAAGTCTTGTAATAGGTTTCCAATCCATTCTCAAATAATGGACAGTTTCAGCGTGTCTAATCAAAGATTCTTCAAGAGACTTGTAAAATGATTTATTAGTATTTAATCCATTATTGTAGTAATCATCAGTGAAATCAACATCATTTAGTCTTTTTTGTACTTCAATTAATTTAATGATTCCAGAAATATCGGCACAGCAAGAAACATATTCAAATCTAAATTTTTTAATCGATTTGCATATTTTAGCCAATCCTTTCATAACATTTTGATCAACATCACCTTGGCAGTAAAAGGATTCAAGATTTGAAAAGCAATGTTCAGCCCCTGAAATATGATGTAATTGATAATCATAATATTTTTTATATTTATCTTGGATAAAAAGATGAATAAATTTTGTATTTCTATTTTTATTAATAAATAACTTTAATATTTCGTTTTTTATAACAGACGTGCTGGAATTTTTAATAATTCTTCTTCCAAAAATTAAATTTTCTATAAAAGATATATCTAAATACTTCCAGTAATCAATGTAATTAAATAAAGGACGTTTATATGTTTCTGTAATACTATTATCAATTCCTAAAGTATCTCTTGATTCTTCCGATAAATGTAAAATTATTGACTTAAATAATTTACTCATTGAACTATTATAACCGTGATATTGACCAGGATTTTCCCATAAAATGGGCACCACTATTTCACACCAAGTTCTATTAACAAAAAGACATGAATAAAGTGATTTTTTATCATGCTTTAATTCTTTAAATATTAAAAAAAGTACGTCTTCGTTGAGTTTTGACATTTTTTTTTAAAAAAATAAAAAATGAATTTACACGAAAGAATCCCGTACGTCCTGTTTTATATTCATGAATAGATTTGTGCAACAAATATTACGTAATTCTTGGATATAATTGGATGATGATTGACATTATATTTNCGTCCTGTTTTATATTCATGAATAGAGTTGTGCGACAAATATTTCGTAATTCTTGAATATAATTGGACATCATGTAACATGATGATCGACATTATATTTACATCAATAAAGATCAGTTGATCAATGAATACTTTTTTTTCTGACGTTCTGAAGATTATCGGCCACTAGACTTATTAATTTTACAAAATCTATATATTAAATAGGAAATTTTTAACTTTTACTTAAACATTTTTAATATGATAATATTCAAAACTTTACTAGTAACATTAGCTCTTTATGATAAAACATTGCCACTTCCCGACTTCACGTGACTGCCGTGGCTCAGGCATCTGCGCAAATAAATTCTTTCCATTTTACTATCATATTCTATGACTTTTTTTTTTAATTGTAAAAGAACTTTTCATGATACCGTTACCTATTTACATAGAAACAAATAATGCTATTGTTCTTTTCTACATCTTGTTGAAGCTCAATTTTGAGAAAAGTTTTATTTAAACGATTAATCATCAAAGGGAAAAATAATTTCGCATGATATTTGATAAAATCGGGTATCGATCGTTTCTGTTTATTAGATTGAGTGTTATGATCTTTTAATAAACATGTGATTTTACTGTAAGAATTTCTTTACAATTAACAAATAATGACAAAAGTCATTTATTGTTCGATAGAAAAGACTCTAAGAGTAAGATGAACGAGGTTAGTAGTCTGTGAAGACATAGTTTGAAACGTTAGTTGCGTTCGCGTGTAGGAATATGATGTGCTTTTGCAACGCATGTGGTAGAGCTTATTTAAGATTTGATTGTATTGAGACATTGAATCTTATAAATTAAGGAGAAAGGTTCACTATGTTAAAAACTTTTGTTGTGAATTATTCATTTTATTTTTCTTAAAAAAAAAAATTATTGAAGTTTTATAAATAATAAATAAAAAGAGTTTTTTTTAAAAAAAAAAAAATTTAAAAAAGGATGATTTGAGACCCTCCCAGTAATCTGATTTCAGGCTACATTTGTTTGAAACCGGTGATAAAATATCGTTTTAATAAAATATAGTTGTTTTTTGTTAATACTTTATGTGAATACAAGTATTTACTTGTTTTTGTTTTATTTAATTTTTTTTATTTTTTATTTTTTTTCCAAATTAATAATTAATAGAATGACGATTTTTTATAACTAAATTAAGGGTACTTACTAAATTAGTGAGTATTAGACTTTAAAATTTAATGGCCACATTTTTAAATAGTACTTTTATAAAGCAAGTAACAAATTAACAATGTTTTTTAAATTATTTTATGATCTCTTCTTGTATGATATTCTAATTATAAATACGTTATGTGCTTTTTTAGAATAAACTCTTATACTTTTCGGTTACAAATTATTATAAAATAATATTGTAAATAATAGTTTAACTGTATCGTAATATATTATAAAAAATTTCTTATAAAAAGACTCGTAAAAAAGATCGTAAAAAAAAAAAAAAAAAATATTTAGCTGATTTTTATATAACAAAAGAAAATATAGAACAGCATTTGCATAAATTTTAATTTATTTTTAATTATTATATTATATTATATTATATATTTTATTTTTTATCTNATATGTTAATATTTAACAAAAGAAAATATAGAACGGCATTTACATAAATTTAATTTATCGTTATTATATTTTTAATTAATTATATTATATTATATTATATTATATTATATTATATATTTATTTTATATTATATATTTATTTTTTATCTCTTTAATTGGTAATCAACAACCAGGCGCAATTGTCTCCCTTGCATCATAACATCAAGAAGATCCTCCAACTTTTTGAAAAATTAATATCTTATTTGTGAGTGCGTAAAAGTACAGCAAATCAGATTAAAAACTTCCGAAAGTTACTGTACAATCAAAAAAAAAAAAATCCTAGAAGAAACTCACCATTCATCTTCATGTTATGGCAAATTTTCAAAACTTTCTAAATTTCAATGTTTGGGGTAGAGATATGAGAACTACAAACAAGAATGGCAATAATCCCTAGTACCTCATGTGATTAATACGCCAGCGGTTACTCCTAATATTAATGAACAGATTTTGCCGCTCCAAATAAGACATTTCAATAGTCTGCAAACCTCTTTAAATGTTGCAATGGTGTGAACGCTTTTAATCCATCTTGTGACTGTTTCCACCCTTTTCCTGGCAATAATCCTTCTATTGTGCATAATTCACCTCATGCGAGGCTCCTGTATTCGTTGAGTGTGAAATTCCACAATATAATTGCATCTTTTTATGTGATTAACATCGACAAATGGGAGTCATAGTTGAGTTGTTTTTTTATACCTATATCCAGAATTATGTTAATAAAAAATGTTAAAAATGTTTTAATTTTTTATTTTATTTTATAATGACGATAGTTTAATAATAAAAATAAAGGGTTCTGGTTTAAAAGCGAACAATTTAATATATAAAATAATAGAGAATCTATGCATTATTATTATATGTAATAACATAAAATAAGGTCACTTTTTTATGTAGTAAATTCTTTAATTATGGGACGCAGTATTATATTTTAATTTTAGTGACGTCCGCAATTGATGTTAAACTATGACGTTTAAGTATGATGTAAGATTATGTTCGTGTCATTTTTGTAATGAGTTATTTTTAGATATAGAACAGGGAACTATGTTCGGGGAATTTCTAAATAAGGGCATAAGTTTGAAGGTCAAAAAAGGAATTTTTAAAAAGTTGATATTACGAAAAGGCGGAAGACGTTAAATTCGAACTATTAGTGATAAAAACAAAAAGGTTTACTAATAATAGGAAAAATTGGAAGAATTAAAAATGGGAAACATTAATTCATTAAAACAAAAACACAGAAAAAATATTTTGATGAAAATCATTTCTTATAAAAGGGAAATTGATACTATTATTTTAGAAAAAAGGAATTTTTTAATAACCAAGCACTATATTATTTGTTATTCGGATTATATTTTTATTAAATAAAGTATTATTTTGTTATAACTGCGGTTAGGGATGGCAACGGTCACGGTCATTAACCGGTTATGACCGGTCATGACCGTGACCAATATCGGTCGGTCAAAGACCTCTGACCGACCGTTTGACCGACCGGTCTGACCGACCGGTTAACCGACCGTTTGACCGACCGTTTAACCGATCCTGAAAACGTTTGCGAAACGTAATTTAATAAAAAAATGTTTCGCAAACGGTTTCAGGATCGGTTAACCAGTCGGTCAAATGGTCGGTCAAACGGTCGGTCGGTCGGTCAAAGGTTCTTGACCGGTTATGACCGACCGATGACCGACCATGACCGACCGTTGCCATCCCTAACTGCGGTGGCAACGTAGTTTACTACGGGCGTAGTTTTACAACGGTTAAAATTTTTTTTTATATATGTTATTAGCCGCTATACTGCAAAAGGTAAATAAGGTATTAACTTTATCGGGACATTATTACACAATTATACTAATCTGATCTAGATATTTTTTTTTTTTTCAAAAAAAAAAAAAACATTCATGCATACAGTATTTATACATGTGTTACAAAATAAAATAGCTCAATTAACTCTTCACAATAAAAAAAATTTTTTTTTTTTCATGCAATAGGAAAATATTACGTACAGCCATGCATATTTAAAAATAAAAAAGCTCAATTAACTTTTTATAATAAAAAAAAAATTTCATTTTTTATGCAAGAGGCGTGTGTTTCAAAATAAAAAATCTTAATTAACTCTTTACAATAAAAAAAAAAAATTTTTTTTTCATATAATAGGAAATATTACGTACAGCCATGCATATTTATACATGCGTTACAAAATAAAAAAGCTCAATTAACTTTTTATAATAAAAAATATTTTCTTTTTTTATATAAGAGGCGAAATTTACGTACAGCCATGCATATTTATACGTGTGTTTCAAGTAAAAAAGCTCAATTAGGCTTTCACAATAAAAAAAAATTTTTTTTATGTAAGAGGAGAATTTTACATACAACCATGCATATTTACACGTGTTCAAATAAAAAAAAAGTATATAATCGCAAATGGACGACATAAAAAAAAATAATTTCTTTGGTAATAAATTATATATTTATAAGCAATTACCAAATGGATGATACTTCAGTAAAAATTAACGATGATGCTAACAAAATCGAAATCGAAGTTGATAAAATCGATGTTGATAAAAATTATGATGTTAAAATATTTACCTTCGATAATGAACTACATAATGGTAAACCTATTACTATGATAGAAATATCACCAAAAGAAACCTACCTTATTACTTATAGTGAAAAAGATAGTTCAATTGTCGGTTGGAATGTTGAAGATATAGATAAGGTTCGACTTAAATTTCATCAAACTGTTAAAATTAATGAAGATAAGAAATATGAAATCGAAAGTTTAAGTGTTTCTGATGATAAGAAACTTGCTTATATTGATACAAATGGTAAGTAATATTATGTAATTATAAACTTATGGTAATTGATATTTATTTTAATATTTTTTTTTAGACGGTATATTCGGTATAATCGATATGAATAATAAAGATAAAAAAATTGCATTAGATTTAAATACAAAAAATGATTATCATACAATTTATTATTATAATTGTACCTTTAATTTAAAAGGTGAATTTATTTTATGTGGTGTAGTTGGAAATAATAGTACTTCTGAAGAACATGATATTATTTGGATTTATTCCACACAAACTAAAAATAACAAATGGGAATGTAAGAGATTTTACAGGTTACCTTATTATTATGAAATAATTAGTATATCAAAATATGATAAAGTTTACCTGTTTTCATATGAAAATGATTACATTTATGAATGGAATATTAATACTGAAAAAAGTGTAAAAATATTTGTTAATAGTAAGAAGGTAATAAATATTATAAAATTATTTTCAAACCAATTGATGTTAAATTATAATTAAATATATTAAATATTATTTACTATTTTTTAGATTAAAATAAGAAATATCGGAATATTCAGTAATGAAAAGTTTAATATTTTAAAAGTCAATGATATAATCATAGTTTATTCAATCGAATTGGGAATTTCTATTGCTTCTTTGGATATAAATGATGGTAACCATTTTTAATAAATTTTATTTATACTTCAATTATTACTCATATTAATCACTATTTTTTTAATTTAGATATTCAACTTTATAATTTTATGAATCGTACTGGTTTATTTCTTTTACCTTCTTTAATCTATTATACATCAGATAAAGAAATCAATTATTGCTGGAATAGTAAATACAAAAATTGGCGTAATGAAACTGAACCAACAAATGGAATTCTAAATGAACGTGTTTGGAAATCTGAATTTTACGAAAATATGTCAAAAACTAAAGTTATTGAATATGATGATGATGACAAGCAAACTTACAATCACTTAAATGTTCATTCAATTAATCCATATATGAATACTGTATCTACATTATTTCAAAATGCCACAGCAATTAGTGATTATACAAATAAATTAACTGAATCAGTTGAAAATTTAATTAAATGGGAAATATATATATATTCTGATGATGACAAAATTAGACTAGAAGTTTTCAAAAAAATTAATACTGAATGGGAATTAATTAGCACAAGAATTGAAAATCATCCTTATAAATCTAAATATTCCAATCATAGACTAATTGTGAGCTCATTATTTAATAATAATGATATTGTTATATTGACAACATTTGGTATTCTTATTTATACTTTTAGTGAAAATAACAAATCTATTTCTTTAAACTATTTTTATTTTATGAATTTCGAAGATTATAGATACGATAACAAAAAATATATGGAAACACTTCAACATAACAAAAGAATATTTTCAAAATCTACTTTACCATTACCAAATTATGACAGTCTTAAATTAAATGGATGGGTTTTAGAATTAATAAATAATAAGTCAAGTTTTTTGAAATATGGAGTTGAATTATTAACATTTGCAATTAAAGAACATAAGTTAGAATTAATTGATGATATTTATAAAAAATGTATGACTTATTTTAAAGAGGATCCATCGAATAATAAGTCATTTTTAAGCATTATCACTTCTGCAATGCCATTACTAGATAAACATTATCCAGAATATATTCCAGGATATTTATCAGAAACGAATATGATAATAGATTCTTCTTTTTATAGTATAAAGCATCAAAATAAAAATTTGCATCTTTATTCTTTTTTTCAATCTCCTCAAATAGCCAATTTATCGAAATCTCTTTTATGGACAAAATATTATTATAAATTTTATTTGAAATTTAGAAATAAATTTTTAAAAATTATTCTTGCTTTAATAATACTTTTATCTTTACCCCTTTATTTGGCTATATTTTATATTTTAACAAAATACAATTTTATTAATAATATTTACACTCCAGATGTATTTTCTTCTCGTGCTGTTAAAATTTTTAAATACTTTCAAAAAGATATAATAACAACACCAACAATTACTTTTATGACTCCTTATATTAATTTTGTTAATTATTCAAAAGATTATAATTGGTTCTTAGAATTAATTAGACCTCAACCTAGTCCATTTACTGAATCAATCACTAGAATTATCTATAAAACATCAAATGGTGAAGCATTAATTAATTTTAAATGGAATGCTTATGGAAAATATTATTATGCAATGATTTGGATTTTATTTATTGCTTTACTTGGATGCTTTACTACTGCTGCAACAATTCCTCAGCAATATATCAGTGAAGAAGTTAGACAACAACTTTTTATTGCTTCGATTATACTTGGATTTATTCATTTGATTTTTGAAATTCGTCAATTTTTTTATAATATTACTAATTGGGTTCATAATTTGTGGAATATCTTGGGTAAATATAAATGTTTATTTTAATTATTTTACAATATTTTCTTTAAGCAAATGGAATTAATTATATAATATTTTAAATTACAGATATAATTGCTTATTTGTTTTCAATTTATACTTCTATTTACTGGCTTCAAACAAATGATAAGAACAATAATTATCTAATTCAATTGCTTTCTTTTTCATGTTTATTTTTGGATATAAAATTTTTGTTATTTTTTAGAATATTTGAACAGATTGGTGTATATTTTGAAATTTTTGATAGGGTTTTAAAAAGGATTTCTTATTTTTTATTTGTCCTATTCATTATCATAATAAGTTTTGCACATGCATTTTATATTTTATTATCACCAAAATCTGAATTTTCACTTGAAAAAATTAATACAAATAATAATGATCCAAATAATCCTTGGAATTTAGCTCCTAGTTATAGTCAAATAATTGATAATGATAATGGAAATATAAACTCCAATCCATTTATGATTCAAACACCTGATAAAAATACAAATATGTTTACAGATATTAGAACTTCCTTATTTGCTATGGTTTTACTTTTAATAGGTATAGTATTTAACATAATTATATAAATATACATAAATATTTTTCTAATATTTTTAAGCAATTCTTTTTATCAATAGGTGATTTAAGTGCATTGTCCAATTGGTCATATATAGACAATCCATCAGTTACAATATTGATTGTTTTATTTTCCATCTTAATTGCTATGTATCTTATGAACTTATTAATTGGAATGCTCAATATAGCAATTAACGAAGAAGATAATAGAGTCTCATATTTGATATGGAAGGCAGAAGTAAATAATATTAATATTAATCATTCAATTTCTGTAAATATACTAATATATCTCAATTTTTATTTTTAAAGATTTTGGCTGAGATTGAGTTATTTTACCTATTACCAAATCAGAGACGTTGGAAAACATGGTTTCCTGAAGTAATGTATGTAATTTTGCTTTTTTTTTTAACATAATTTTATTAATTATTCAAATTTATTTTTCTAGACATTATTATGCTGATGTTGAAAAGACTCGAACAGAAATTAAAAGATTGATTAAAGAGGGTGAATGGGATAATAAGAAATTCATGCAAGAAAAACTATTAGAGAAACTTCATATTGAAAATAATCTTAATGACAATAAGGTAATATTAGAGAAAGTAAAATCTAATGATGAGAAATTAGATAAGTTAGAGAAATTAGAGAAATTAGATAAGTTTGAAGAATTAGAAGAGAAACTAGAGAAATTAGATAAGTTAGAGAAATTAGAAGAGAAATTAGAGAAATTAGACAAGTTAGAGAAATTAGAAGAGAAATTAGAGAAATTATTGGAAGAAATACATGCAAAATAATTTAATTTTATATTAGTTTTATAATTTGATCACTGGAGTTATTGGAATTATGAATAATGTATTAAATAGACCAGTTTGTAATCAATTATAAGAATTAAATAAAGGTATTTTATGCTTTTTGAAATAGTCCATTTCAGTTAAGTTTCATATAGGTGTTTTTAGCTTAAATTATAGCTAAAATCTATAAAATCTAGTTGAAATTGACCAAACTGTCTTGCCAAAATTTATTTCATGTATGTTTGTTTAAAAATGGGTTTAAAAGAAACCAAAACAGGAAAACGGTTGAAAATTAATCTTTATATGTTAATGTCAACGTCAACATTGGCATTCGTACCAGGATTGGAAAATTTTGTTAAATTAACACCGGTCTTACTATTTTTGTAGACTAATGCTTTTAAGGCCATATAAATAAAATTGTTAGTTACATTTTTATTTTTATTTTTACATTCCACGTGAACTAAGCCACGGTACAAATTAGCGGCCGGGTTACAAAAACGTCACGAAAAAACACTTTTTTTTAGTCACATGATACCGGCCGGGTTCAAAAAATTTTAAAAATAAATAATTTTTTTTCATTATTTAATTACATCATACTATATATAAAATGCAAAATGATTTAATATATACAAATAAAACTCTTATTATTATTTATTGATCATATTATTATTATCCATATTAGTATTATTAAGGTAAAGAAAGTTGGGAGGCACTAGACATAAGTTCTCTAAATGCATTTTTTTCTTTTCGTATAGGTGGTTGATAGTCTTCTGGAATTTGTAGTTCAAATAAAATTTCATTTAATTCACATTGAATATTAACATTAACAAATTCGTCTTTTAATGAATTTCCTACTTTCGAAAGTCATGATAATTATTATTAATAAAAACTTCTGGCGAAATTTCTCCAGTAGCCAATAAACGAAAAAATTCACATAATGAGGGATTACCAGCAACAGGATGTATTTGCCAGTTGGGTATTTCTTTTCTATCACTTTAACGCTTACAAAAGGCATTTTCTATTTTTGAAAAAAACTATGCTTATCCAATTATAGTTAAGGGGAGGGATTTTTTGTATTACTAATCGATCTTAAATTTTTCATGCGGGTCACCGGATAGGAAAAAAAATTATTACAGTAAAAATAATAAAATTTTTTCCCGAATCACCGGGTAGGAAAAAAATTTACGTTTTTTTAACCAATCATATTTCAGAAATCGTCTAATCTTTTTTTTTTATTTTCCCGGACGGCCGGATTACTTTTTACTATTTACTGTATATTCACGAGAAACGAATTATTTTATTTATATGGCCTTATTTATTTTTGTTGATTTTGCTTAGATTTATTTCCTAGCGACCAGGCTGCGGATACTGGTAAGTGATCACATGATTTTTCTCACTAATATTATTAATTTTTTTTCGTATTTGCTTTCAACTACTAATTGTTCTTTTTTCTAAAAAAAAAAAAAAAAACAACTAGCGTTATTTTGTTTTGTTTTTGTTTTTATTTTAGAATATAGTAATATAATTTTCTAGGTATTTATGGGAAGAATTTCTTTGGAGAAATATGATACTCCAGATATAATTAAAATTTTAGGTACTGCTAACTAATTCAGTTACTAATACAAAATGGATAGAAAAATTTTTTTGATCTAATATATCAGACAAGTTTCAAAAATGATTCTTTCTTGGAATTTCAAAAAATATTGATTTAATATTCAAAAAGCCAGCTATAATATTCAAATCACTCAAATTTTTCTTTGATTCCAGGAAAGCTTTTAATATCACTTATTCAAAATGATTATTTTCAAACGAGAGTAGTATAAATTTGGGAACGAGTGATTAAATTAAAATTCGTTCAAAATCCTGAAATTTCCTCAAATTTTACTATCGATTAAAAAAAATAAATTAGCTAAAGAAGTTCTGCACATATTTCACAAAAAATAAAATATTAAAGTAGATTTACTTAAAAAGGAGATTCATGATCATAAATCACAATTTGTATAAAAATCATTAGAATTTTTAATTATTTATTCTATATATAATTCAAAACAACAAGATACTAATATTGATGTAAAACATTATTATTGTCAAGTTGTATTCGTGAAGAAATTTATTAGTATATTTTTAAACATATTCAGTTGTAAAGTCCATTCTGTTCATTCAGTCGGTCAGCTCATTACAGCTTAATGTTTACCCACTGCTGCTACCCAGTTGACCATGTTTAGTGCGTGCTTCTGGCATTTTAAAGAATTATGAAATATTATTAATCTATGCCAGATTTGCCAGATTTTGGTGGCAAAAAGAAATTTATTTGGTTAATTAATTAATAATAACTAATTATTCTTTTATTTATATTTTTTTTTTTCCGTCTCATTTGAGATCAACGGATGCTGCGGTGAAATAGTAAGCGTTTATTTGTTTCATTTTGGAATTTTTTTAATTTTTTTTTATATTTACCGGTATATATTTAATTTATCTTGGATTGGATTCAAAAAAATACTTTTGTGATACGGTAAGCACTAATTTACTTTATTTCAGAATTTTTTTTAATTTCTCTACTTTATTTTACTGATATTTTTTTTTAATTTTTCTTTTCGTCCTTTAGGATTGGAAACTCATGAATCAAATGGTGCGCCCTGATTAACACAATGGTTATATTAAATGACCTCATCAAAAAACATTAACAAATGGATTCTTTTAAAATAAAAAAAATATATCAAATAGTTCTTATAAAAAAAATCAATATCAAATACTCTTCCTTTTTTTAATTAATTTATTTATTTATTTTGATAAAGAACAATATTAATTTAAAGATATATAAATATATGTATTAAACTATTCCATTAATATTATTTAAAAGTGGTGTACATTTGTGAGCACTAGAATGTAGTGTCTGAATTAAAATTGTCAACATCAACATATCAAAATTGAATATAATTGTAGCGCTATAATTAAAAGGCTTCCATTATGGACAAGGGAATACGTCCCAATTACCAGAATTTCCATTATAGTGCCAACAAGAATCCTGATCATTATTGAACGGTCCGCGTTTTTTAAGATCTTGAACGCTGCCTAAAACATCAAAATCAAGGTAAAACGTTGATTTGTCTTCAGGTATATACAAATGGTAGCCTTTATGAGCAGATGCCATTTTCTCATCAATTACGACGCCATCTGGAGTAAGGGCAGTAGTAATAGACACTGTGCCAACAACCAATTTGTTTTGAATCCATACTGTATGCCCTATACATACAATATATTACATCCAATCAATACATTTTAATATTGAGAGAATTACTGCTATAATTATTTAAAAATTTACCTTCAGTGAGCGATGTAAAAGCTATTAGGCTAAAGATGATTGAAATTATTAAGGCGAGAGACTTCATGATAAAAATAATGATACGATTTGTAGTTTGTGGATTCGATAAAAATTCTTTACTTCTTCCTGGTAAATGTTTATGTTTGAATTCTATTCAAGATTTATTCTTGGTGTATTTATAAGAAATTTACAGTTTATCCTCAAACATTATTCTGTCATATTTTAATGAAAATTTCAATTAATTAAACACAAAAAAAGTTCTTTCTATTTGCCCATTCATTATTCTCTCATTTAATTAATTTTATATGCCATACTAAGTTATTCATGAAATAATTTTTCATACATGATTGTCTTTATAACAAGAACGTGCCATGAGCATATTCAGAAAGTATCATTACTCCACGCCATATCACCTCCGATTTACAAAATAAAGATAAAAAAGATAAAAAGATAATGAATGTATGGAAATATAAAAACAAAAAAAAAGGGGATATTGAAGTAAAGTAGTGCATAAGACGGAATTTTATTACAACACCTATAATCATAAAAACATTAATAATTAAAATGACAAGTTCCTGAAGATTAATTTTTTTTTCAAACAGGGATGATCTATCGTCAAAATCTCTGTCCCTGCCCGGGTCTGATTAATTTCACCGAAAATCACTTCGCCGAAAATCTTTCTCCTTATACAGTCATTTCAAGCAAAGCTATTTTCAAAGGAAAATTGAATTAAATTTTTTTTTTTTTTTTTGGTTCATTACAGTTGAAAATAATAATAATATGAGATAATAAAAAAAGTTTGAGGACATTAATTAAGGCCATTATTCCAAACTAATAATTAGTTTAACGTCCTTTCTGGCTCAAAAATTTGAGGGAGGGGGAGGGAATAATTTAAACAAACATGAAATTAAAACATATTAAAGATTTAGGAAACTTTCGGTAAAATCGGAAATATTCGGTATCATTCAATTTTAGTAAAGAGAGGTGTGCTTTAAACATATGTGAACATATGTGTTTAAATTACCTTTGAAATTTTCAAAAATAGAGAGGAGGACGCTAAACTAAAAATTAATTTGGAGCGGCCTAATTAAATGACAAGCTCCTGAAGTTATCCATTTATTTTCAAAGGGGGATTATATGTCGTCAAAATCTCTGGTTCACCGACTATTACTTCACCGAAAACCTTTCTCCTGCAATCATTTTACACAAAGCTATTTTCAAAGAAAAGAAAATTGAATTAAAAATTTTTGTTTTTTGTTTATCATAGCTAAAAATAATAATGATATGAGGTAATAAAAAATGTTTGAAGCCATGTACATATAATATTTACTAAATAAGGACAACATTATAAAAAAAGAAATTTTTTTTGCGAAAGATATAAAAATACATTTATTATTTTTTTTTTTAAAAAAAAAAGTCATTTGATATTATTATAATGTCTAAAAAGTATTGTAACATATAACATATAGTAAGAGCCGATCAAAGATCCCGACATAGAATCCCGTTATAAAACAAGCCCAACGCTCGTAATCCTAAAAAATCATCATAACTGATAATCTCGAATGTTCAAAATCCTGACACTCATTATCCCGACATTTATTTAATTTTTTTTTTAGACGTAATACCTTGTATTAGTATCCCGTCACTTTTTCCACTCCACGTGACTTGTGTGGCGAGATTAATTTTGAAATAGAAGACAAAGCCTTTTTTTTTTTCCACGTTAAAATAATGTTTTAAAAATTCATTAAATAATAAAAAAAATTTGAAAAGCTTAAGCTGTAAATGATTTTATTTTACTTTTTTTTTTTAGAATTTATATTATTAATTCTGAAATGACAGACTAGTAGTTATTTAACAGGTATAGAAATATTTATTTATTGATTTTGCTTAAATATTTGTTAAAAAAGTATCTATTTTTTTCTAATAAAATTAATTGTTTACATTTATTATTAATTTTATAGCGTAATTTTGATACTTAAGTCAGCGGGTATGGAACTACTTAAATATTAATTTTTATCAAAATATCTTGAATGTTTACAAAAATATTGATATTTTTATATGGAATTGCGCAGGTGGGTATTTTCACTTTATAGCTTAATTTTGGTACTTTCGTTAAATAAAACAAGTCTTTAAAGGTTAAGTAATATTATTCAGCAGGCGTTGAAAGTTGAAACTATTTATATATAATATTTATCAAGCTAGCTTGAGTATTTATGGAATAATTTGAATTTTTTGCAATAAAATATTTAAAAATTATTATCTTTAAAAAATGTTTATTTATTTGTTTATTAAATTTAATATAGTGTGAGAGAGTTATTTTTTAAATGTATTTGTTGTAAAAGTAATAAAATAATTTTATTTTATAATATTTTAAGAAAAAAAAATATTTTTTTTTTGTGGTTTTTTTTTTCTAAGATAAATGTTACATGCGAAACTACCAACTCAATTAAGCCAATTAAATTTTAAACGCAACAAAAATCACGTGGAGTGGAGGTAAATGGTGCCCAAAACATCAAAATAAAGGTGAAATTTTGAATATTTATCTTCACTCTTCAGGTATATTCAAATGGTAGCCTTTATGAGCATCCTCATCGATGGCAGTAACTATAGACACTGTGCCTTTAACCAATTTGATTTCAATCCGTACTATACAGCCTGTATACATAATACAATATTACACCTAATTAAGGTATCTGGACTTTTCGCCGAAAGTCCATTTCACTGAAACCCATTTTGCCGAAGCCATTTCGCCGAAGGGATATTTCGCCGAAGGGATATTTCGCCGAAAGGACATTTCGCCGAAACCCCTTTCACTGAAATTCCATTTCGCCGAAGCCATTTTATCGAATGGACATTTCGCCGAATGGACATTTCGCTGAAAATTATTTATTCCATTTGGTTATTTATCTAAATACATAAAGAAGTGTTTTCTATAAATTTTTTTGAATTAGCTGATTTTTATTAAATTTATCTTGTTGTTTATAATATATTAATAATCATGTTAAGTGATAATATCCTGGAAAAAAAAAAAATCTCTACTTTATTGCGTGATGAATATTTTTATTAAAATGTTAATCGCCGCCATTTTTGGCGAAATGTCCATTAACGAAATTGAATTTGGAGAAAGTGGACGATTTGGTGAAATGGATTTGATAAAATGCACTTTCTACGAAATATCCTTTCGACGAAATGACGAAACGACGAAACGTCCCTTCGGTGAAATATCCCTTCGGTGAAATAGCTTTGGCGAAATGTGTTTCAGTGAAATGGATTTCGGCGAAATGTACCGTAACCTTAATTAATACGATTTATACGTTATAATGTTGAGATAATTATTCAAAAATTTACCTTCAGTAAGCGATTTGAAAAGCTATTAGACTAAAGATGATTGAAATTATTAAAGCGAGAAGAGAATGAAACTTCATGGTGAATATAAATGACAGTGTATGGTTTGTGGATCTCTTTACTTCTTCCTAGTAAATGTTTATGTTTATAATTATTCTGGATTCTATAATCAAGATTTATTTTTGGTGTATTATTAAAATTTACGGAAATTTACGGAAAATCTTTGGGTCACATTAATAATACTTAAATGACAAACTCCTGAAGATTATCCATTTTATTTTCAAAAGTGGGATCATCTACTTATATGATCGTCAAAAATCTCTTCCAAGACTGGTTAATTTCACCGACAATTACTTCATCGAAAAACCTCCCTATAAAAATGAATTGTGTTAAATTCGTATTCATGTGTAAAAAACGTCTAAAAAGTACCATTTTGTCCGATTTATGTCTTATTTTAGTAATTATTAATATGTACCCTATAAAAATGTAATGGTTTATATTTGTGTTCATATGTCTGAAAAAGCACTATTTTGTTTGATTTTTTTTTTTTTTGTAATAAGTACAATTAATAAAAGAATTTTTTTTATTTTTATGAGAAAGATATAATAAAATATTTATTTTTTTTTTAAAAAAAAAAAATCATTTTATTACAATATCTAAAAAGTATTGCATATGTCAATGAACCCCTATGAAAAATATGGGAGCCGACGATCGAAATCACAAGCGACAATCCTAAGTCCTAACAAATCATAATCTCGAAAGTTCAAAATCCTTTATTATCTCGACATTTATTATTTTTTTTTTTTAATTTTTTTTTAGACGTAATAATTTTTTTATACCTTTGTAAATTGTAATGATTAATATTTCTATCAATAATGTCTTTATTGTAAAAATTAAAATTTTTATTAATTTTAATAGTATTATAAAGATCATTTTTGAGTAGTTCCCGAAAAAACAATGATTATGCAACATGATTATAAAATATATTAAATGACTTATCAAAAGATATTAAAAAAAAATGGATCCCCCTAAAATAAAAATAATATTAAATAGTTTCTATAAAAAAATAAAATATTAAATACAAAATATTAGTTAAAAAAAGAAAAAGAAAAATATCAAATAGGCCTATCAATAATATATATATATATTAAACTATTCCATCCATCTTATTCAAAAGTGGTGTGCATTTGTGAGAATTAGAATGTAGTATCTGAAATAAAATTGTGTATAAGAAACATTCATTTATATAGCAATTGTCTTGCGATGATACTATGATCAAAAAGTTTCTAGCTCCCTCTAATAAACCTATTTCTCGTTATTATTAACAAGCGTATACGTCCCAATCATTAAGGGAACCATGAAAGTGCCAACAGAAATCCTGATTATTATTGAACGGTCCGCGTGTTTTAGTATCTTGAGTGGAGGTTATAGCTTCTAGATAAAGGTAAAACGTTGTATAATTGTCAGGTATAGTCAAATGGAAGCCATGATGAGCAATTGACCATTGCTGATCAATTTGATTTTGATGTGCATAATCTAAAGTATCGACGGCAGTAACTGCAGCCCATGTACCTACAACCAATTTGTTATGAACCCATATTGTATGACCTGTATATACAAGATATTACATCTAATTAATACGCTATAATACTGAGAGAATTACTGATATAATTATTCAAAAATTTACCTTCAGTGAGCGACATAAAAACTATTAGATTAAGGATGATTGGAATTACTAAAGCGAGAAGGGGATGAGACTTCATGGTAAATATATGATATAGTTTGTGGATCTGATAAAATTTTCTTACTTCTTGCTAATAAATGGCTATGTTTCTAATTATTTTGAATTTTGCTCAAAATTTATTCTTGGTATATTTATTAAAAATTTGCAGTTTATCTTCAAATGTATTTACCGTATCACTAATGAAAACTTTGAACAAACAAAAAGGAAAGTTTTTTCGTTTAATCATTTATTCAATATTTATATCTTCGTGAAATGTAATTTATTAATTAAATTTTATGTCATACTAAATCATTTTTCATATGATTATCTTTATGTTAAGAACATATCCGGAAAGTATCATCACACCACGTCATGCTACTAAGACGCAATTTTTTACGTAGTTCGCGTGTGAACGATAGACTAATTGAAAACCTGATTTTACTTTAAAATAATCTAAAAATAAACATCTTGTACACATTTAGAATATGTGATTTAGGGGCGGCGCAGATCATTTTAAACATAAGATTTATTTTCGCGGAGTTATAAACCCGAAAATTTTTTAAAAAAAAGATATAATCTGGAGGTTTTTCAACAAAAATTTTAAGTGATTTGGTTAAAAAAAAAACTCATTTATTATAAATTTGTGTAATAATAAAATAAAAATTAATTCCTTAAGGTATCCATTCAAGTACTATATCGTCATAGTCATTTATTTTTAATTGCCGAAATTATTTATGAAGATACCACTCCTGAATAAGTATTGAAGATCATCATAACAATCACCCACACCCATAACTGATAATATCGATCCCAATTTTGCCGATCATTTGCTGATCATTTGTCGATCATTTTTCATAATAATATGCTAATGAATATTGCAACTTTTTTTTTTTATTTTAGACTAGGCGTAACCGTCGCGCTGCGCCGGGGATGAGAGTAATAATAAAGACACTTATATTTATTTGCCATGCAGTGTGAATAGGTCTAGTTTTTTACTATTATTATGATGGTATTAGTAGGAAATAAATATAATAAATTACAACAATTTATATGATTATACAAATAACAATGAATTGTGTGCAAGTGTTATACAGTGTATGATTTTGTATTAATAGTTTATTGTTACATTGTTACAAAAAAATCTCTGTTTTTTATCTTAAAAAAATTTTCATTGTAGCATTAAAAAAAAATTACATCTGCTGCTTAAAAAAATACATATATATTGTTATTATATCTCAAAGAAATTCATTATAGCAATCTATTGTTATAGAAAAAAAATTATCTCACTCATTAATATGAAAAAAAATTCTGAAAAACTTCTATTGTCATGAAAAGAAAAAAAATATTCCCAGAAATATTAATTATCATGATCGAACTTGATACAGCCTAAAAAATATTATTGTTATTATTAATAAGAATCGGGAAATTGTAAAAAAGTTTGATACTAAAATTAATCGCCGTTGTGCCGCAGCATCGACCCAAACCTAATGTATTTGGGAAAAAAAAAATTCTGATTTAAAATTTCATTAACCAAAATTGGATTAGATGTACAACATGACTTGCCGATCAAGTAGGTCTTCTAAATGAATTTTTTTATTATATTAAATAGATTACAAAAAAAAATTTTTTTTTCACAAAATACGATCAATTGTAAAAAAAATTTTTATTAAAAAAATTTATTAACTAAATGTCAGCAAAAAAAAAATAATTTCCTATAATCACACTGGACCGGTCTTGTTGTTGGCGAAAATAATTTTTTCCGAGTGAATTATTTATTATTACTAAAAAAAAATCGACATTAATTATCTACTATACTTATTAGTATTAGCGAAGTGTTTGTATTTATTACAGTATTAGTAATCAGCCAGGAATGTGCCGATTAGGGATTGGAACCGTCAAAAAAAAAGCTTAACCGGTTAATAACCGGTTAATATATAAATTTTATATTTTAACGTGTGTTTAGAGGCCTATTTTTTGTATTTTAACGCGCGTTTAAAGATAAATTTTTGTGTTTTTAACTAAATAGTATTATTTAAGAGTAATTTCTGGTAAATATTTATATTAAAATGTATACATTAGTAAAAAATTACATACAGTATATTGTAATTACTTACTACCCAGTCATGCAGTGGTCACCGGTATCAGCACTAAGTTGAAAAGTTTTTTAATTATATTTTTAGTTCTATCCGAAATTCCATTCCAATTCTGATGGCCACTGTAGTATTCAAATTTTTGCATTTTTTCTTATTTAAAATACTATACCCGATCATATGCTGATTTCTGCATAAATCAAGGTTATAACTTTAGAATATTTTAACATAAATAATGTTAAATTATAAATATCATATGCAATATATTATATTAAAATATAAGATTGCAGGTTTATCATCGAATCTATTAGGGTGGGCAAAATTAAAGTTAATGCTAGTAAAGTTAAAGTTAGAAGTTGGCTAGGAATTACTAATTTAGGATGATCTGTATTTTAACCGGTTAAGTTAGCCGGTTAAATTAACCGGTTAACCGTTTTTTGAGAGGTTAACCGCCTTAACCGGTTAATTAACCGGTTAACCTTAACCGGTTCCAATCCCTAGTGCCGATCAAATTCAGAATATGCCGATCCAAAATTCTAACTAAAAAATTATGGAATAGATCAGGCGCAGGCATCACATGCCGCTCCAATTCAAAATTAATTTATACAGGTAATCTAAACGTCTACAGATCGATATGAATTATTTTATTATATTAAATAGATTTTTATAAAAAATAATTAATTCAGGTAAAGTAAAAATAAAGACATGGACAAAAATATTGCCAATAATAAAGGTACCATATGTTTTATATGGCATTATTTATTAAAAATTTTGCAATTTATTTAGTTACATGGCATCAATTTACTTAATTTCGCTATAATATCGACAGTATATAACCCCGAAATATATATATAGAGGTAAGGTGGCGGCCAAAAAATTTTACTATTAGCTGTACGCATTTTTTCAGGGCCGGAATTATGATAATTTCGGCCAGCATCCAAAAAAAGGTAATACCTTTCTACCAGGAATTTATCTATATAAGGAAAGATTTTGTACGTAAACTTGAACCTGACCTTTTTATGTATATTTCGGGGTCCTATCTCTAGTCCCGGCACCAAAATCCCAATAAATGCAAAATCTCGATTGAATCAAAATCCTGGCAGTCACAGAATCCGACTGATGAATTTGAGATTAGTTAATTTTTTTTAATGCAATTGTTTCTAATTTTAGATAAGTTGTCTAGTAATCCTTTTAACTAAGATAAAAAATTTTTCTTTTAATTTTCATTAATAATATAGTAACGTTAGTTAATTTGCATTAATATTAATCAATTTACATTGGTATTAATAAAATTTACAATAAATTATTCCGTTACTGGTTCACTGCATTTTTAAAATTATATGCTTAATTGGAAATTTTATATAATTTTTTTTTTTTAAAAAAAAAGAAAAAACTTTGGTGTCAAGATTTTTAACTGTCGAAATTTGTGACTATCCAACGGGATTTGGGTTTGTTGGAATCTTGGTATGTCGGGATTGTAGACTGCTGTCAATTTTATGGTTGTCGGAATTTTGTGTAAACCCAATTCAATATATGGTTGGTTTGATGTCCAAATATGGCTTGGATTTTTCCAGCATTTTTATAACATAATATGCTTAAGCTTAAACTTACGCTTATTTTAAGTTTATAATAAATATGCTTCAAGCTTCAAGCTTTTGTACATTTGATCCGCAGCCAACTTTGTGACGTTTAGAATAGTGTCTCTTTTTTAAACTGATTTTTTTTTATGTCTATTTTTTGGTTTCTTTTTGGACTGAAATTTTTTTTTTTTAAATAATATTTTTTTTTCGGTCTCTTTTTGGACTGAAATTTTTTTTTTTTTTTTAATGGTCTCTTCTTTTATACTGAATTTTTTTGAACAATAATATTTTTTTCAGTTTTTAAAACTGAGTTTTTAATAATTGATTTATATATATATATTATAAGTATATTATTGTTTATTTCATTTTTGGAGTTTCGGGATATGATCCAGTTCGGGAAATAGCCAATCGGAAAATTGACTTCAGGAAAATGATACTCAGGAAAATGATATACTCGGGTAAATGGCATAAGCATGATCAAATCGTTCGGCGGTGCACCTTTTTTTTTTAATTTCGTTCTGGAACGACAATATAATCAAATAAATACTGTAAATATATATATTTTTATTTGAACAAAATATGGTTTGTATGATTTTTTTTAGAAAATAATAAAAACATTCTTGACCAAAAATTGTTTAATTTAAATTAAAAAATTTATAATAAATATTTTGTTTTAATATCATTCTTTTTTTTTATTATTTTAAAACTATTATAATTTTTTATCTTATTTAATATGATTAAGATTTAATCAATTTTATTATTTTATTTTTTTTTACTCATATTATATAAATAAATATAAATTCTAAATTAATATTATGTAATAATTGATTTTCTTAATTATATACCAGAAGTTTCATCATTTATCCTGTTGCATGCGCAACAGGTTACAGATAGTAATACTTAATAAAATGTTAAATAATATAATATTTCTTAGTGAGTTAATGGATTTTCTCTTTCATTATGGGATTTTTTTTTTTTTTGTCTTATTCACTATTTTTTTAAAAGATTATTTGAATCAAACCAATTATTTCAATAATACTAAATCTGGAATATTTATTTTATCATTTACCAACATGCAGAGTTCGATTAAATCAAAGATTGGGAAATCAAGATATAGTTGATCATCGCTATCACAATAAAGTTTCCCAATTAAAGTTAAAACATTTAAAACATTACTTTAATAAGTAAAAAAAAAAAGATGAAGCGATTATTGATAATTATATAAAATTACTAGATAGATTTTATTCATTTAATATTATTGATTTCATTTTTAATTATAAAATATTTTTTAATATAAACAAATTTTGATACATAAATTTGCAGAAATACATAGACATAACATTAAAAAGCTGTTATTTGGTAGAATCTCTAGAAGCTCTAAAAATCAGTGTTAGGAATTAATTTTTTGGAATTGTGTATTAGGAATTGGTCTATAAGCTTTGGCAAAAACAAAAGATGAACGTTCGAAAACTGCAATAAATAAGGGTTAAAAATATGTAAAGTAAC